GCCCCGCCGGACCCCCCTCCCTGCCGGCGCCCTAAGCCTCTTAGGGGCTTCTCCGCACGAATGCCTTGCAGGGGAGGCACCCGGGGCCGCTGGCCCCTTCCCCGGGCAGGAGGTGCGGGCAGCGTGCGGCCCCAAGCACGTGGGGCCCGGCAGCATCCCGGCAAGGGCACCATCCCCGCCTCCAGGTCACAGGGCTGTTCTTCGTGGTTTCTTCCTCGGTTGCCTTTGCTTCCATCTTAAAACCCCACAAATCTGGCCCAGCGTATCTCCCCCTCCGTCCTGCCTGGCTGGGCTGGGGGACTCGCGGACTGCTGGCCACCAGGACCCCCACAGACCCCCCCCCATCCTCCTCGGACGAGCTCCCCAAGAAGCCATGAAGCCTTTTGAGCAGTGCTCGCTAATGAAACTCAAGCTGGAAGCAGCAATTAACACCAGGGCCCTGCTTTTTAGTGGAGAAGTAGCTGGTTCTGCCGGCTTCGTAGAAAACACTCCCGGATCCCTGTAATCCTATTTGTTGGAGTCCAACTAATTGCAATTAGTGGCAGGGGCTGAAGTACAATTAAAGTGTACCGAGATTATTCCTTTTTGTAATTGCTTTAGTGCTGGGATTAAGGGAAGATTTGGAGTGATACCATCCCGTGGGCAGCGGTGCTGCTGGGCAGGGTGGGCAGGGGCTGCCCAGCCCCTCTTCTGCCAGATTTTGGCCTGCAATGGCTGGGCAGGGCTCGGGCTGTTCCCCGGGTGCAGACATCTGTGGTGGCACCAGTAGGGACGTGGCGTGGAGAGCAGCCCTCGTGCCAGGACCTGCACCTGGGCTGGGGTGGAATTTGGCAGCGGCTGCAGGCAGGAGGCCCGGCAGCCCTCGCTTTTGGGGACGGACCGTGCTCGGTACTGGGCACAGGCTGAAAGCCCGACGTGTCCCGCTGGTTTCAGCCGCGCGGGCTCTGCTGCTGCTGTTTCCCATCACAGCCCTACTGCCTTACTGCCTTGCCCTCTTGGGGTCACCCCACAAAGAGCGTTCGTGGGGAGCTGGTCCACAGTCCGAGGGGAGCTGGGGGGTCTCGTCCCTGCCCCCAGGATCGAGGGGCACTGGGGCGATCTCTTGGGGAGTTGGGGTCCCCCGGGAGAGCTGCCTCAGTGGTTGGGGGAGAAGAGGCAGGATCCCCCCAGGGGTGATTTGCTGCCCATCCTGACACTGTCATTGTGGGCAGCACTAATCCAGACACCCCCTCCCCATCCACCACCATCACCACCACCCCCCGCCTCCGTCCCACCGGGGCGGAGCCAGGGGAAGGACAACAGATTACCCCTTTGAAAAGAAGGGACATAAATAATCCTATTACCCCAGAGCAGGATAAATCTGCCCTCCCCTAAAAGCCACTCAGAGCGTCTATAGGACGTGCGCCTGCGGGAGCAGGACGGAGGGTCTCCTGCGGAGCAGCGCTGGCCTCGGCGACTGCGGCGGCTGCGTAAGTTCGGGGCTCTGCCACGTTGGGATGGGA